TATCTCATCTGCTTATCTACTTGCTTTTTAACAATTCAGGATGGGCAACGAATTCCTAGCCAGCAATCTCATGAAAGTATAAAAGAGAACACTATGGAAACTCTCCCTCCCAGCTCCTGAAATCAACACCAGTATGTGTTGCTTGTGTTAAGTGTTAATTGTGCATTTTCACCACTGGAAGAAATCTCTCTCCGCCCCAATAGCCAAATACTCACACAAATAACATCACTCGTCCATTGCTAAACATGCTAATCCTGACCTTTAGCCCCTCCACCCGCATTAGTATCAGTCCTGAGTTGCAGACTTGAATCATGAACGCCATTTTCTTCTCTCCACAGATGCTTCTTGGCCCTGCTGAGTTGTTGTTGGCATTTCCTGTTTACAATTCAGATTTCCTCACCGTTTCTAATATCTTTTGTTTTACATCCTCCTAGTTAATTGTTGCCATCAACAATCAGGTCTTGACACCCTTGCTTTTCATGCAGTCCACAAATTTAAAGGGTACAGGGGACGTTATCTCTGCACTACACCAAGAAGAGCCACAATCATAGTGGAGCAGGCTCAAAGGGGCAGAATTGCCTACTCCTGCTCCTGGCTCTTGTAATGTTCATACTTAACCTGTGGAAACCTGCAGCCTTTGTATCTGTTGTACCGAGGCTTGACTATCCCTTAAACTGGGATTAACAGTTTAATGAGGTTGATGCAGAATTTCAAATTTGCCATGTTTAACCACATCACAGCTACAATCAGTAAGTGGCTTTGAACAGGCAGCCCTATTTGCCCTGATGTTAACAGAGAGGCTGAAGAGTGATAAAGTGCTAAAAACAGGCCATACCGGGCTATTCTGCCACTCTTAGAGATGGGCCTAAAATAATCCAAAGTCTGGGTGCGATGGGTTGCCAAGAGGCAAAGACTAGGGCCAAGGAGGCCAAAGGCCTGAGGCCTGAGCAGGAGCTCCTTCTCTGCCCACCTCACTAAACGTTAACCCTAAATTTAAGCAAAAATTTAGCAGAATCTAAGACTGTGGATTCCTGGTGCTGACCTGATGATATCAGTTTTGATAATACACAACGAATCTACAACGACTCACTCCCCTGTTCTGCACTTGAACAAAGCCACATTTTAACACTTGGACCAAATCCCCCGCACTTTAAATAATGAATGGCACGTTAAAGGCACTCACTGATGCAAAGCAGTCAGCAGGGTTGATGGGTCAAGGGATGGCAAAAGCATTATAACTTAAGGGAGCCTTTTCCAACCAGTCACTTCCTCCTGCCCCTGTGTTGTTACCAAGAGCACCAGCCTCCCCATGCTCAGGCTAAAAACAAGTCACTGCACTGATAATATCATGGTCCATGACCTTCAGGCATTAAGTAGCCTTTGTCTGCTATAGCTGTGTCTTTGTCCAGGGCTGGAAACAGTAAGGCAAATATTACACCAACCAGAAAAGGCATGAGCCTTCTCAAACCTGATAATTTAACTCCTGCCACTTAAGACCCGTCCTAACGTCCTCTGAAGGGGCTTGAAAAAGAGACCACAAAGTATACACACATCCCAGTGGCTTTCTGGTTAATGTAGTGAACTTGCAATCCAGAGACTGTGGAGTGAAGTGTAACAAGGATGGAGAAGCTGAGTGAGTGGTCTTGTGCTATTTGTCTGTTAAACTCTCAGTCTCCTTTAGGAGCTAAAAACGTTGAAAATGATCAGAAGTGTTACTGAACAGTTATATAAATTGTAAGTAACTGGCTGACTCTATGGCCTTGAGGGAAGGACGCTGATTCCCCTATTCCAGCTTAACATTCTGTCATTAACTCAACACCATCAGGGCAATTAGGGACAGGCAACAAATACAACCTTAGCAATGCCACCAACATGTCAGAAATAAATAATACAAACCCAGCGAATTAGGCAGAATATGGACTAAATACTAAGTACCTTTCTTATTCCAGCAGCATTTTATTTGCATCCTTGTAAAATTTGAAAATGAATCACAGCAAATAAGGAACTTACATGCCAAAGCTTCCTTCCTGTTTTTGGCTGCCTTTCCCACAGACTTCCACTTCCAAAATATTCGTCCTGTCGCAGAAGAGGTGGAAATTAAACTGTTCTCGCCACTGAGGATTTGTGCATTTGTATAGAACCTGGAGAGGAGAGAATAGTTAAAGCGTGAAGTGATGTTCAGATTTTGGGCGACTTCCAAGAGGAGAGAGCTGACGGCAAAGTTACTGGACTTAATCCAACTTTCGGGAATGGGACAACTACTCAGTAACAGAGCCATACCGCTAGCGGTTCCTGAGGACACAATCTGACAAATCAACACCAACTGCAGTTTATGGATCATTTTGGATGTGTGATAAGAGTTTCTACATCTATTAATGACAACTTGCATTTACATAGCACCACCAACCTGGTGAAATATCCCAACCTGCTTTACAGGAAGGTCAAAAAAAAACAGAATATGACAGATGTAGAGTTTTCAGGAATGTTGGCCAAAATTCTCATCAAAGAGACAGGTTTGTTGGAATGCTGCAAAGGAGAGACGGAGAGAGAGAGAGCATGAGAGGCTTAGGAAGGGAATTCCAGGACTTGGGGCCTTGAGCAACTGAAAACATGACCACCAGGGGTGAAGCAATGAAGATCAACGATGCACAAAAGATCAGATGGGTGCAGAGGCCTGGATGAGAATTCCAAGATGGGATTTGGAAAAGCTTTGAAAACTATTCTAAGGATTTTCAAAATGCAGGGAGTATCTTTTGCAGAGAAGTATCAAATATTTAATGATCTCTAGGCATACAAAATCACCGTTTATTTTGATAAAGTGTCTCAGACTCCAGAAACAAACACAGAACGACACTAGGCTCGGAAAGAATCTGTACCTTGGTACCTAAGGTGGGACCATAAGTGGTGACTAGTAAATTTTTCACTGTACTCATGTGAGTACATGTAATAATAAAGCTAATTCAATTCAATCTGTTTTGATAACACAGAAGTCTCTCTCATTAGTAAATTTACGTAGATTCACTCTCCTGTTTCTACATTTCCACACAGCCACATTTTAACACATGGGCCAACCTCCCTTGCAAATAATGGCATACTGAAGGCACACACTGATATTTGCATGCCGACCAGTCAGCAGTGTCAACAGAAGAAAGGATGCACTGTGGAGACGCATTATTTCCTAAACTCACTGGACAATTCAGACAACACATAATTAGCATGTCTCCCTCAAAACTGTCCTTTACTTTTAAGGAGATGCTAGAGTTTCAGAGCAATTATTTATTTAATTGAAGGCACAGCTCAGCAGTGACAGTAAATACCCTTTTAATAACATTACCGCGGAAATAACTCCACAGAGGCCAGTATCCTGTCACCAAGTCACCCTTTATTTACATGTGCATAGTACTTGACACTGGTCCAACTCCCTCAGAGCCAGCTCTCAGAGTGAACAGAACCTCTGACACTCCTATTTCTATTTGTCAGCCAGGACTCCCAGATTGGGGCTGTTAACCTGGTCCAATCAGGGAAGTCATATTCTATGAGGTCCACCTGGCTGACTTTGCTACAATCACGTTCATGCTCAATTCACTTTTGGGCTCAGAAAGGGAACAATGTGAGCTGTTCAATGTCTTCCTGCATGTTAAAGTTGGAAAACATTTCAAATTTTACCATACATTTTTGTCCTTTTCCTCTCTCTTTTTTAATCCAATCATTCTTTCCAGCTCTATTTCCCTTTGTGTCTGATTGATTTTAATGCATACAAGGGAACTAGAGTGTGCCACTCAGCCCTTCGATTCTCCTTCGTCATTGTGACTGATCTAATTTTAACCTCGGTTGCATATCTCCGATAATGATTCATCCCCTTGGTGATCATGAATCAAATTCACCCTCTTTCTCCAATGTTTCTCTGCTCTCTTCTCAATCTTTAAATCTCTTTGGCAAAGGAGACCAGCTAATGTTGCCATCCTTCATAGGGGTCCAGATGCCCCCTCAATGTGCATTTCCAGCACAATACAATGCACTTACATTCAACCAGAAGGAGGCAGCTGAACTCACGCCAATTGATAATAGGATGTCCCACTCTAGCGAGATTTGGCCCCTTAATGTGCAGCAAGTGTTGGACTACAGTTGACTCAGTCTGTGGGGAATTAGTCAATCAGCGAGCTGCCATCTTTCAACACAGAGATTAAACCAAGGGTGAACGTCCAAGATCCTGAAATGGGAAAGGGAGCTTCTCATTGTCCTGGCCAACACTGAACTCTCAACCAAAACCAATGAACCAGTTTAAAATGGTCATTATCCAGCTCCAGAATGTGCAACTACAATAGAAACAGAAATTGCTGCAAAAGCTCAGCAGGTCTGGCAGTATCTGTGGACAGAAATCAGAGTTAACATTTCGGGTCAAGTGACCCATTCTCAGAACCGATGGTTGCTAGAAAAATGTTGGCTTTTATGCAAAGGGTAGGGTGGGGGGAGAGGATAAGGAATTAAACAATAGGCCGCGATAGAGCCCAAAGAGAGAGAAAAACAGTTGGACAGGCAAAGACCTTGTTGTCACATACACAATAAAATCTGAACGGACTGCAGGGGTTGTAAATCAGGAACAAAAACAGAAGTTGCTGGAAAAGCTCAGCAGTCTGGCAGCATCTGTGAAGGGAAAAAATCAGAGTTAATTGTTTGGGTACAGGGACCCTTCCCCAGAACGTGTTGTCACATGGTCTGCTATTACACACAACCCATTGTTCACCACTAACAGTCCCCATTAATAGCTATTCACCCTCCTAGCCAGATCGTTATCCACTCCTTTGTCTGTCCAAGTGTTCTTCTCCCTCTTTGGGCTCTATCCCCACCTATCGGTTGCTCCTTACCTCCTGCCCCAACCCTGTCTTCCGTATAAAAGCAAACATTTTCCTAGCAGCTCTGAGGAACGGCAACTCGACCCGAAATTTTAACTTTGATTTCACTCCACAGATGCTGCCAGACCTGCTGTTTCTATTTTCGTTTCTGATTTACAGCATCCACAGTTCTTTCAGCTTATATCCAGAATGTGCAATATTGCTGAGAAGAAATTTGATGCCCAATTTCCCCAACAACAAAATAAACCATCACTTGAAAAGCAATTCATTGGTTGCGAAATGTTTTGGGTTATCCCAAGAATATAAGGTAGGGTGCTATATAAATGCAAAAATGTCCCTTGCTGCTTACCTTACTTTTGTACTTCTCCTCTCCCAGCCTGAATTTGACGTAGCATCCTTCAGCTGCATCTTCTCTGAACCCCCTTCCTTCAAACAGAGTGATAGTAACAATGCTGTCCCACAGCTGGCTTTTCCAAAGGCTATCAGACAGGCAGATATTCTGGATGAGGCTAGTCTTTTCCACCAATCACAAATGTGGAGACATGCAGAAGACAGAGAGATGGTAACTTCAGAGCTGGAACTCATAGCGATCAACAAGTTCAGTCATTGATTTAATATATTTAAATTACACAAACAAAAACAGCTTTCAGTTACCTGTGGGACAGAAAATAAGACTGTTAATCATTAAAGACACCCTGGAAAAAATATTTCACAAAAGGGATGCAGAATGCACTGATGCCAGAGGAACCCAATGCAAAAGTAGTTGAGGTACTTGTTGGGTGGACAGACGTTTAGTTGGGAATTTAACAATTTAAGGGAGGCAGGAACTGCAGGGAACAGCTAAGAAACTAGAACTGCAAATGGGTGGACAAAGTCAGAAATCACATGACACCAGGTTATAGTCCAACAGGTTTATTTAAAATCACAAGCTTTCAGAGCACTGCTCCTTCATCAGATTTCACCTGACAAAGGTGCAACACTCCAAAAGTTTGTGATTTTAAATAAACCTGTTGGACTGTAACCTGGTGTTGTGTGATTTCTGACTTTGTCCACCCCAGTCCAACACCGGCACCTCCACATCAAGGTCACAAAATGGCACATCCCATTCCTCAGTGTGAAATTGTTAGAGGATTATCAGCTTTGCACAACACAGAGAGCTGGAGGGGAAGATACTTCAGAAGATTCCTCATATGCAGATTCATATTTCCATTTTAACAATAACTATTTTTAACAAAGTCTATCCATTTTCTGAGATCCAACTAAACATTAGCAGGAACATCTGTCACAGCGCGAAAACCAAGTAAAATTGGCGAATGTGGCATTGTGTTCTGATTTACCATGTATACTACAAGATGGAGGCCCAACATGACCAAAACTTTCATTTCCAAGCCTGCTATCTTTTCTGAGGAAGGGTCACTGCACCTGAAATATTAACTCTGATTTCCCTCCACAGATGCTTTCTGATTTGCTGAGCTTTTCCAGCAATTTCTGTTTTTGTTTCTTATTTATAGCATCCGCTGTTCCTTCTTCTGTCCCTCTGGATATCGAGGGCATTTTTCTGAGGAGACGCCATCATTTTCAATTTCCCTCACAATAGTTTTTTTTTAAATTCTATCCTCCCAATACCACACTTTCCCTCAGTTCAAAGGGCAGATACCTGTCTATCCCAACACCTTTGGGTGACCTGTCAGCATAGTTTATGGGCTTATTCTGATAGGCCTTGGAATGGGCCCTCTCTCATCTCTCTTGGAAACAGACTGTTGTGCCTGGGATACTAAAGCCAAATTACAGCAACAGATCCATAGTCACATCATTCCCATGACTAACATGGTGTCAGCTCCCCCTTGGTTGTTTTGGAGCCTTCTGAAAGGTTTGCTTTTGCCTGAATTAGATCAAAACACTCCCTCCAACTCACGTGGTCAGAAACAAAACTTAGTAATATGCCTACTAAATGTCACCCTTGCTCTCTGCTCTCACAGGTCACCTGGTGAACGAGACGGACGCAAGAAAATTCAAAAAACATCGTATGGTTGGGGCGCAGAAGGCCATTCAGCCCAGTGTGGCCATGTTGGCTCTCGGTAAGATAACTTAGCTAGTTCCTCTCCCTGGCCTTTTCTCCACCAGCCTTGCAATTTTTCTCTCAGTCAGTTATAGAATCATAGAAGTGTACAGCACAGAAACAGACCCATTAGTTCCAACTTGTCCATGTCAACCAGATATCCAAGATTAATCTAGTCCCATTCGCCAGCATTTAGCCCATATCCCTCTAAACCCTTCCTATTCATATACCCATCCAGATGCCTTTTAAATGTTGTAATTGTACCGGCCTCCACCACTTCCTCTGGCAGCTCATTCCATACACGCACCACCCTCTGTGTGAAAAAGTTGCCCCGTAGGTCCTTCTGAAATCTTTCCCCTCTCACATTAAACCTATGCCCTCTAGTTTTGGACTCCCCTATCCTGGGAAATGATCTTGTCTATTTACCCTATCCATGCCCCTCATGATTTTATAAACCTCTACAAGGTCACCCCTCAGCCTCCAATGCTCCAGGGAAAATAGCCCCAGCCTATTCAGCCTCTCCCTATAGCTCAAACCCTCCAACCCCAGCAGCATCCTTGTAAATCTTTTCTGGACTCTTTCAAGTTTCAAAACATTCCTCCTCTAGCAGGGTGATCAGACTTGCACGCAGTATTCCAAAAGTGACCTAACCAATGTCCCGTACAGGTACAACATGACCTCCCAACTCCTATAGTCAATGCACTGACGAATAAAGGCAAGAATACCAAACGCCTTCTTCACTATCTACCTGCGACCCCACTTTCAAGGAACTATGTACCTGCCCTCAAAGGTCTCTTTGTTCAGTCACACTCCCCAGGGACCTTACCATTAAGTGTATAAGTCCTGCCCTGATTTGCCTTTCCAAAATGCAGCACCTCACATTTATCAAAATTAAGCTCCATCTGCCATTCCTCGGTCCATCTGATCAAAGTCCTATTATAATCTGAGGTAACCTTCTTCGCTGTCCACTGCACCTCCAATATTGGTGTCATCTGCAAACTTACTAATCGCAATCCCTTTGGACACCAATGATTGAATCTGCCTCTAACCCACTCTCAGGCATTGCACTCCACATACAAACCACTCACTGTGTAAAAAGGTTTTCCTCACATCACCTTTGGGGTTTTTTGTTGCCACTCACCTTCAATCAGTGCGGCTCGATCTTCAACCCTTCAGTCACTGGGAACGGCCTCTCACTTTCCACATGCCCAGACTTCTCCATAACTTGTATCATTTCCAGCAAATCTCCTCTCAACCTCCACTTGTCACAGCAGAACAGCTCCAGCTTTTCCCATCTGTCCCCATCCTTGGAAACATTCTCACAAATCTGTTCAACACGCTCCCTAATGCCCCCACGGCCTTCTGAAAATGTGATGCCCAGAAATGGACACAATACTGCAGTGTAGTCCCAGTGTTCTATAAAGGGTCATAGTCATAGAGTCATATAGCGTGGAAACAGACCCTTCGGTCCAACCAGTCCATAATCCAAATGAAACTAGTCCTACCTGACTGCACTTGGCCCACATCTGTCCAAACATTTCTTATTCATGTACTTATCCAAATGTCTCTTAAACATTGTAATTGTACCTGTATCCACCATTTTGTCTGGAAGTTCATTCCACACATGAACCACTCTGTGTAAAAAAGTTGCCCCTCAAGCCTTTATAAATCTTTCTCCTCTCACTTTAAAAATACACCTCCTAGACTTGAAATTCCCCACCATAGGGAAAAGGTCATTGTAACTTCCTTGTTTTTGTGCTGTATGTTTTTATTTATAGAGTGCTAAGAATCCATTTACTTGAGGAGTCACTTTCACGGATCTAGAATCATAGAATCCCTACAGTGTGAAAACAGGCCCTTTGGCCCAACAAGTCCACACTGACCCTTGGAGCACCCACCCAAACCCATCCCCTATAACCCACCTAACCTACACATCCCTGGGCACTATGGGCAATTTAGCATGGCCAATCCACCTAGCCTGCACATCTTTGGACTGTGGGAGGAAACCCATACAGACATGGGGAGAATGTGCAAACTACACACAGACAGTCGCCTGAAGGTAGAACTGAACCTAGGTCCCTGGTGCTGTGAGGCAGCAGGGCTAACCACTCAGCCACCATGCAGCCCCAAATCTGTTATGGTGATTCGACTGTTTGGCCCATCTTGGCCTCAACGGCTCATTAAACGGGCATCAACCCCCAGTGCCAATCTCCCACTACTTCCCCATACCCTCACACATTATTTTTACCCAAATAACCATCCGACACTCTCTAGAATGCCTCAACTGAACCTGCCTCCACCTCATTTCCAGATAGTGCATGCCACACCCCCAACTACTCATTGCGTGAAAATGTTTTTCCTCACTTCTCCCTTGCTTCTTTTGTAGATCACTTTAAATCTCGGCCCTTTCCTTACAACAGGAACAGCTTCTCCCTATCAATGTTGTCCAGCCTGCTCATAAATTTGAAAACTTTAATCAGATCACCCCTCAGCTTTCTTCTCTCCAAAGGTAGCCCCAACTTCTTCAATCTTTCCTCTTAACTGAAGCTCCTCACCATTGGAACCATTCTTGTAAACCACTTCTGCACTCTCTCCAACACCTTCCCACAGGGCAGTACCCATATCAATACTCCGGCTGAGGTCTAACAAGCATCGTATGCCTGACCTTCTGCTTTCAACAGTTTCTATGTATATACCCAGAGAACCCCTGTGCTCATCTCAGCAGTGGCCTAGTGGTAATATCACTATTCCCTTAATCCAGAGACCCAGTAATGATCTGGGGACCCAGGTTCGAACGCTGCCATGGCAGATGATGGAATTTGATTTCAAAAAAAAGTTTGAAATTAAGAGTCTAAACAATGACTATGAAACCCATTGCTGACTGCTATACAAACCCACATGATTAACTATGTCCTTTAGGGAGGGAAGCCTCCATCCTTACCTGGTCTGGCCTACATATGACCCCAGACCCACAGCTCTAAGCAATTAGGAATGAAGAACTGTAGTGATGAATTTCTTTTAACTTATTTTTGTACCTAAAATTTTGTACCTGGGTACCCTTGTACCCAAGATGACGCAGGGACTGGTGACACTGTATATATTTTACTGTACTCAAGTACTCCTGTATTTGAATACATGTGACAATAAAACGTAAATTGAAATCTAAAAATGTTGGCCTCTCTTGCGACAGCCGACCTTCCTGACCTTCCACTTTCAACAATTTGTATGTGCAGACCCAGAGGGTCCCTCTGCTCCAATCCTATCATGGTGTTTTGTGGGAGCTTTCTGTGTGCGAACTGAGTGCTGAATTTCCCCTACATTACTCAAGCTACTACAGTTCAGATGTGTCCCGGGCTACAAAGCCTTTCGGACTTCCTGAGGTTATGTGATATGAAAAGAGAGGCACTGTTTAGAGTGAAAGTCATGGGCTGTTTTCGGGGTCAAACTTCAAAGTG